CTCTCTTCTAATAACACTGGAAATCCAACAGCAGCAAGGCTCAGATATCCTGCCTGCCATACTAACGAAGAGCTTAACAAGACCCCTGTCTTGCATTTGCACACATATATGCAATAGGTCTCAATATCTCTAATAAATAAAATGAAACTACTGCATTGAAAACCATATTGAAAACCACAACTAAATTTAGCTAGCTTCAGTGAACTCTGCAGACATCTACAGGCACACATAGCCTATACTGGCAGAAGGTATATACTTTGTACTAAGAAATGATTTCATAATCAAGCTAATGAATAGCCCAAGTCTGTTTCTACTGTTATTAGAAATATTATTGACCTACAATATACATCTGTAATTACTCACAACAGTACTCCTAAGGCCATTCAGGTACCCTAAGCACAAACAGATTTTGTTTGGCAATTTGAAACAAACAAAAATCCTAAAAAGTAGTGACTAAATTTTATATATATGCAGTATACATATTAGATATGCATACGGTGTATAAAACTGTGTTTCCATATGCTCAGCTTTGGGAAGGTAATTTGTTTTACAGCAATGCCATAACGAATGCTGTACTAAAAAGGAGGGGAAAAAAAAAAGAAAAGGAAAAAATGCACATACTTCTCCATTTTAAAGCTGTATTTGTTTCTTTGTTACTAACCTAAATTCTGCCTAGTCTTTACTGCTGATGTCTGAAGTGACACTGAGTCGAGTATTCCTGTGTTAGCCACCTTCCTTCTTTAGAAGAAACACACCCATTCATAACCAAAGCTGTATGTAACAACACATCAGTCCCTGCTCCCCTTCCAAATTATATTCATTATCTCTGCATTTCCTTTAATAATTGAAGTCTATGAAAGTATATCTAAACAAACTGAAAATTGCCTCTAACCAAAGCATATCTCTGTGAGTTAAATCATCAAAGACAAGCAGAGAACGGAAATCAGTTTAGGCCACAAAGTTGCAAAGATTTATTTATGTGCTAACCTGAAACTGTGTTAATAGTCCCGTTGACTTCAGAGGGATTACTTATAGTCCATGAAGTTGAGCAATCTGTAAGTGATTGCAAAATTGAAACCTTAGATAGACTGTAATTGGATTTTGAAAAAGGCTCAGAAACTGAATGCACAGCTATAAATCACATGTCCTTGAAGAGTTATATATCACCAAAAAAAAATAATGTATGAAATATAATTATTTTTCTTAGTAGCTCAGCTGTGAGGACTAATTAATGAATAAAATTAATTTCAAATTATCACAGATCATATAATGTAAAGTCCCTGAAGCATGTCATATAAGTCAAAAGATATGAATCTTTGACAGAACAATTTTATTTACTTTCTTGTTACAACTCCAGCTACAGTAAGTGAATTACCTGCATGACCCAGGGAAAGAAAGTTTATCAAATATTAGAGCCAGCTGAAGACCAAAGATATATATTACAAATGTGCCCAATAATTATAAAAGTATGAAATGAGTGCATTTATTTATTACCAGTTATATCATGCTAGATATTTGGAGAGGACACGTGCTTTGTTTTAATTAGCTGTCTTTTTCACTGGGTTCCTTGGGCAAAGCCTCCTGCTAAGGGTAAATAATGTAGCCATTGGTCAAAATGCTTGTAACAAATCTTGTTTTAAATTGAAGCTATTTATTCAGAAAACAATCTACTACTACTGCAGTAATCAATGTGTTTTCCCTTGGAGTAGAACTGCTCCTGTGCTACTGGAGGACTATTGTTAATTGCCTGTAACTAAATGATTGCTGTGCTTCTGGATGTAACTTTCTGGCAACTCGTTTTTTAACAGAATGTCTGTCCCCCTAAGGGTTAGCCAAGTAATTTTCCTCTACTATTTTCTACGTTCAGTCTCACCTACTTAAGGAGGACCAGGTCTGTAATTTGAGCAACACAACATAGAGGCTAAATTTTCATTTTTTGTCTCTCCCTTCTGATGTGGAATTGTGCTGAAATTGAATCTTTTTAGTATGTAGCCACTACAGCAAACTTGAATTTCAGCAGGAAAAACAAATCACACTTGAAAGGGAGTATATTCCTGCTGCAGCAACTGGGTGCTCAAATCAGAATGAAAAAGGCAGAATAAAGCAGCAGAAAAAAATGTTATTGTGAAGGTAACCATATGTTCTAACCTTGCTGTACACTTAATTCAGCTTTAACAGTCACTACATCACTGCTGATATTGTTGACATACACATCACCAACACCCCTAGCATTCACAGAGCACCTTTCAGGAATAACCTCTCCTAGGAAGAAGCCAGAGCACCTTCCCCAATTCACATTGGTAAAACCAAGGCAAAGAAGTGTGAAATGGCTTCAGTCACCTGAGGGGCCAACAGCAGAGGCAAGACTGAGCATTCTGCTTCTCACACCTTAAGTTCAGCTCATCATGGGGTAACACTGTTCCCAAAAACCCTGTGGCAGATTAGAGCCAGCAAGTGGGCCCTTAGGGCACGGTTTAGCATCCTGCAAAAACACAAACTCAAGGCCTGAAAACAATCAACTTAGCATGACACTGTGCTCAGGACAATCCAGCCTGCCTTCCACAGTGCTGCAGAGATGTAGCTGTTCCACTTCCAGCACTTTGGAGGTTGGCTCAGGCATCTGCAGGGCTGGGTGTAAGGATGCAGCAGTCTGCTGGGCTAACCACTGCCCTCTCTGCCTCTAAACCCTGACAAACAGCACCCAAGACAGGGAACAAACATGTGCTGAAAGATGTTGTCCAGCACAGAGGAAAAAAATAGCTTGCTATGTTAGATCAATAGACCATGAAACCTACATTGCAAAAAAATCTGTTTAAGAAAGAACCACTTCATCCTTGTCCTCAGAAGCAATCACAATGGGCTCAGCAGCAGCACGTGAAAAGGTAATTGCTAGTACGTTTCAGGCTGAGTTAGAGAATTTTGTTGTTTGCTTTGATTGCCTTATTAAGGACAGCTTCTTGTGGCTTCACATAAATTTTACTGAAGGAAGCATATAGGCATAATCTTATTTTATATGGGAAGAGATAACTAAGAGGACTGATGGCAAAAGTGATGCAGTGCATTAGTCTGATTTCATGCACAGTGACAGACAGCAGATGACTACTGGCAGTTATTTTTTTTTTTCATCTAATCTCAAAATCATTAGTTTAGGAAAAACTTCTGTTTTCCAGTTGTAAAGTTTTTCTTTCCCTTTAATGAGTCAAAACAGCAGGCATATAAATAGAGAATTTTGTGCCTAGGAACCTGATATATTAAAGCCTTTCTTCTAGTTACCATTGAACAGCTGCATCACCTGTAGTACAAAATGATAAACAGAGTATAGTAAGTCAGTGCAGAGTAATTTCCATTTATATTCTAAAATATTGTATTACTTGTCTATGCAAACAATTTTTTATGGGTGTTTTTAATAACATTCCCCTCTCTGGACCAGAAAAGTATTGAAGTCTGAAATAACCATGTCAGTCTTAAAAATATCTAACACAAAGGAGTTTCCAGCAGAGTTTTGGAGAGAATGACATGGAATATAAATGCCTTTTTATTTTATTTTATTACATTTTTAGTGTCTTCTAGAGAGTAATGAAATCTTCTTACATTTGCCTCAAAATAGTAAAAAAAAAAAGTGTGTGATTCTCAGTAGACGCTGTCAAAATAAATGGAATTGTCACTTTCTCCTCTAACCTTTTATTTCTCTAATTGAATTGCATTGTGCTGGATTATCATATCTGCACAACCACACACACATTAAAAAAAAAAAAAAAAAAGGTTAGTTCTGGGCTACCCTGCTTCACTTAGACAGAAACTGCCCACTGGAAGAGGATACTGTGAAAATAACACAGAACTGGTCTTGCTCCAGCACGGATTTTTTTTTTTATGAAGCAAACTCTGCATCTTAGATTTCCAAGGTTTGATTTTTTTAATTCCTCAAAACTGAGTGATTTGGAAAAGTATGGAAAGTCTTAACATTTGCCACCTATTGCTCATTTCAAAGTAAAAAATTGTTCATAACTCTCCTTCTTCTCCCGTCCTCCTTTTTTAACATTGCCAATTTTCAGCCACTGAGCAAATGAAAACTATCAACAAGATGGAAACCACGTAGCTCTGTGAGCTTCCTTGAGTGTGCAACACCTAAAACTAAGGGAGACGAAAGTCCATGATGGCGTATTGCTTTTGCCTTGATAAGTGGCTCCACTACTGGTGGTAGGCAGTTTTTGACCACATTTGACTGGAGTCCCCCACCTCAGGAACAGAGTTACATGGTGGTGACCCCAATCCATCATGTGAGCAGACTGCAGTAAAGACACCAGTGCGTTAGGCTGAGTGGGAATGTCGGAACAGACGAATCGAGATGGTTTGCTGTGACTACACATAAGCTAAGCCCACTGGGGGAAAGGTGAGAATAAAGATGAAATGTAGATCTCTGGGAAACTGTGTTAAAGATGTGAACATATAACTGAGATGTAGAGCTGCAGGGTTCCTTGGGTAATTTGTCTTCATATGTCTCGAGTTTTTTGGGTTTTGATTTTTTTATATTTACTCGGGAAAAAATAATCAAAGTCGTAGTGCGGTCTTGTCCAATAGACTAAAATTCATCCTATTTGTATGTGGAATAAGGGAGAAGCTGTTTTTGCATTATAGTCCCTAAAAAGGAAATATTCACATCTAATGCCATTGTAAGTCAAACATCAACATTTATCTGTGTAAAGCAAACTGTGATCTGTCTACAGAAAGAGAAAAAGAAGAGTTACCAAATGTATCGTGTATATGCACATATTCATACACACACATACATACCCAGCAATTTTCAGAGAAAAAACAGTTTATAGAAGAAAAAACAAAAAAATACTATTATGTATTTCTTCAAGGGCCCTATAATGAAATGAATTCATAAATGACCCATCATTCATTATTTTATTTTAATGTTTAACAGAAGCGTGAGGTCTGCTGCTAATCTTTCTGTGGTTTGGAATGTGGTTGTTACTGCATTTTGTAATTCTTTGCAGAGCTGATGTACACAGTTGAGCTTGCTGGTGGGCTTGGTGCTATTCTGCTGCTGCTTGTTTGTTTAGTGACTATCTACAAGTGTTACAAGATAGAGATTATGCTCTTCTACAGGAACCATTTTGGAGCTGAAGAACTAGATGGAGGTAAGGCAGCTTCTTAGTATGTTTTCTACTTTCTAAGAATTCTTGTCTTTTATTTCTCTCCACCAAGGCCCAGATTTCATTTCAGTTCAAGATGTGGTAACAACTGCAATTTTTATTTCTCACTGCATTAGGCACTTACTCGAATACACTTTCCTCATACACCACATAAGCTCAATAACTGCTGAGCTGTACATGTTGCTCTCCGGAGCTCCAGAAGACATCCATGTCTTTTCAATTCTTATTTCCAACACTGAATGTAAACTACCAACATTGATGCATTGAAGATTTTTACTTTCTGTCGGTACTGAAAACCAGTTTCATTTCTGCATGAGCTAGGGAGTGTCCTCCCTAATTGTATTCAACAGAGAGGTAGAGGCTGAAGTGAATCTCAATTTACTGCTTGTTTAAACTGATCCATTTCAATAAACTGTACTGAGTGTTTGGGAATGTACCCAGCAGTTCTTGTTCTTGAGTTCATTTACTTAATCACTGAGAGAGCTGCTAATGGTCATTAAAGTTGTTCTGTGATTCAAGGACACCCAGACTTAACAAAAGTAATTCTCAATGTGTGCACCAGCTCTGTCAAACATATACATGCATTTTCTTTTCTTCTCTTTTTAAGCACTGAAGAAAAAGGTCTTATTTACCTCTAGCCTTACTAATCAAAATTGCTGTTGTACAGTGAACAGCTAACTGGGTTGAGCTGGAGGGTCTGGTTAATTAGATTTGATTTCTCAGGTCAGAGTTCCTGACATTTTGTGCTACCACTATGTCTTTGGTGACAGGACCTTAGTTTCTACAGAAATACTAATAAAAGTTATTTTACAGTTCCAGGTAACAGCTTGTAGGCAGAAGCCACTGTGAAATATAAAAACAAATATATACTGATAAACAAGTGATGGCCAAATCTGTCACTGATAAGGGAGAAGAGCAACAGCAGAATTACAAGTCATTATATAAGAAAAGAATTCCATAATAAACTCGCTCGGGAATGACCCATTTCTGCCTTCCATATAAAAATGCACAAGCATTCAAAATAGAAAATGCTCAAAACAACAAGCCCAAGAACATCAGAACATTTTGTAACCTTCTAGAGGATTTACAAAAAGATGCATTAATATAGCAGCTCAGTGGGGAAAAAAAAAGTCAGGTTATTATATTTATTTTACAGAGAAGGAAACTGAGGCCCAGAGGGACTGTGAGTCATGGAGGATTTTGACAGACACTTTCTTTTTTATCTTTTTTTTTTTTTTCAGAAACTGAGATCCACTCCTCTCTACAAACCAGCTGCCAGTTTAAATGGGCATGCTTACTTGCATAAATTGTGTGAATTTAATAGTCATATGCAGAAATAGTGACTTAAAATAATAATAGTTTAAATAGATGAAATTTAATGTTTTCTCAGTATCAGTAATTCTTACTTTTATAGCTGTCATTTATCTTTATCTCAAATCATTCCAATTCATTTGCAAACTTACTCTGCCAGGTGTTATACTCTTGTCTCTGTCTTGTCCCATCCCAGACATTGGTCACCTGGGAACAACAATGCTTGAATCATACATTTTAAACATTTTAAAAAAAACCCGTGACCTCTAAAGGGTACTATTCTGTGATTCAAAAGAAGGAAAACCAATATCCATTCAGTTTATTCTTTTGAGCAAAGGTCACTATTATAGAAGGTCAAGCACGGATTCTCCTTAGAAGACCAATGCAAATACTGATAGATTGGATGCTAAACCATGGCAATACAAGAAGAAAAATACTATTTACAGGTTGCTAATGAAAACATTGAGCTTCTACTGTGTTCAATGTACTAGCAACACAGATAAAACCCATTGTGCCAATGAAGTGACTGCTGCTGGACGTTTTACTCCGTCTCTTCCACTTACAGTTGTACAAAAGAAAGAGGACAGAGAGAAAATGTCCCAAAGAAACCAAGCCATGGCTTGTGTAGAAATAAATTGCAGATATACACTGAGATCTTTTCCTTTGGCTTAGTTTGTTATTGACAGACACAAAATGCTGAACTCTCAAATCTTATTCTAACCACATCTCCTGTGGTGCAGCAGCAGAGTGCCCACATGCTATTCATAATTTACACCATGTTCTGTCATACTTCAGGACAGCCTGTAGATAAGGAAACATCAAATATAACAGTCATCTTTTACGTGCACTGTATTGTACCCAGAGAGGATTTGAAACACTTTAAAGGTGAAGTCCAATTAAAATTTTCAATTGAAAATCTCTTTTAAAATTCAATGCTTCATTTCTTTCCTGATCAGAGAACAAGCCCTTCAGGATGTCAAATCTCATCACAATTTCTCTTTCCTTTCCAAACCTTAGACACATCAGTTTTTCTCAGGCTAACTAACACACATTTCCATGGGAGGCACGGGTAAGTGTGAGAAGTATTTGAAAACAAAGTGTTTAACCCTTACAGCTAATTCAACTGAAATTATTACTTTCTGTAGGGGTACTGCAGATTAAGCAATTGATCACAGCTGTTGATTCCTCATTTCTCTAATTTACAGCTTTGAATTCACTATTTTTTTTTCCTTATCCTAGGGACTAGACTCTCCTTCTGCTTTTTTCTCTCTCCTGCAAACACTGCAACTCTGTCCCGGGAATGGGAATTGAAGCCCCCTTTTTTGTTTTCATGGTTAATTCCCTGCCTTTCCTACTAATTTGGAATATAATAATTTTATCACTTCTCCTCTCACTCCATGCCTGTGCTTTCCAACAACATGGGAACTGACTCCACACCAGGGGATTACGTGATGGGCATGTGCTGTGTCCTTTAGTGCAGAGCAGCACAATGTGCTGGTTTAGTCAGGGCACCTCACCATGAACGTCTGACAGTTCCCCCTGGTAGCTGGAGCACACAGTCAAGAGAAACATTCTGACCCCTGGCAAAACAGCAGGTGTTTAGCATGACCTTGCATTTCAGAGCTATAACTCACCACTACCTGTTTGGTGGTCAGAAACTCCAAAATCTGTTTAAAAGGAAAAATTCAGTTTAATATCTCTCCGCATACATAGTAAAGATGGGACCCCGAAGTGCTATGGAAACAAAGAAATGTCCAGTACTATTCTGAAAACAACAAAATTTTCACAAATAGATACTACTGGGAACTTCAGAGGACTAATCATTGTCAAATGTCAGGCAACCTTTTTAGTTTTGCAGCTTTAAACTTAAAAGCTTATTTTAAAAAGCCTTGTCCATAAAGTACACTTTAGGGACTAACACGTTATTAGTGAAAGCCACTTCTAGAAGTGATGATTTCTTCTATTTTGCTGTACAATGAGATCCAACAAAAGGGATTTTTATACCATATTCATTCTCTGTGGAGTGTTTTAGCAGTTGCTTTTTATGTATTTTTGTCTTCCAAGGACCTTCTCTTGCTGTCGTTCCGAGTTTTTAAATGACTTTTTGAAAAAAGTGTAGTACTTTAACTAATAGAGAAGAGTGAAAATTCAAATAACTATTTACAAGTACCTGCTATCAACGCATGCCCTGACTTCTTTCCACCTTGCACTCGGTGACCTTAAAAGGCTATTTGTATCAGAAGAGGTATCACCACTGTATAGCAATCTGCTCTTTGTCTACATATGAGCTGACTTCTTGGCACCTTAAAATCAACGGAAACTTTCCCGTGATTTCACCTGGGACAACTTTCTCCTTTGTTATACTGTTTCTGCTCGCCAAATCATGCAAGGATCAGTCCCCAGGCATCACAACAGGCACAGTGAGGGTGGAGGGAGGGGATTCAGACCACTTCTCTAAGTAGAGCCAGTTTTGATGCTGCCTTAGAGTGGACAGGAGGCTCAAAGTAACCAAAATAGCTATCTTCAATTTTTTCTTGCCATTTCAAGACCTGACAGGTTCCAGGGTATATGCGGATGCCAGTTTTAAGCTACGTTATAAGGATAAATCCAGAAGTCTACAGATGACAGGCTGAAAACCATTGAACATGGTCAGATAGGCAAAATTACTCAAAATCATGAACTTCTACATGTGTTTACATTCCAAATTCCAGTTTCAGAGGAAAGAGCATATGGCACAGTTATCAATAGAAACAGTTTACAGGCATCTTCCCCTACCATTACCTGGGTCCATTAGTAATCATTTAAATTGATGGAAGTTTTTGTATGAAGGTGTTAATAAGAAAGGATGACACCATCCTAAAAGAAAAAAAAAAAAAAGATTAGGACGCTGGCAAAAAAGTAGCAACTAAAGACACAGTCTGACCAAATGTGTTGCAAATAGTTTTGTAATGGAATTCACATAAATATCCTTTCTCACAGCTATGCTGATTAGAAGTCAAGCTTAAGGCTCAAGAAAAAATAAAAGCTGTAGGCAGCTGATAACTAGAAAGTGAGAGCTTTGCTTAACTGCTTACATGATGACCTTCACAAAGATTCTTGGTGTCTTTAAGCCCCATCAACTATTTTTCCTGTTGGTCAGGAGCTCACCATGGTGTTCTCAGTCTCATTCTCAGCTTTTTTTGCCATGGAAACCTTGGTGAATTTAAGGATGACACAGCCTCTGTGCACCTGAGGTGCCAGCAGGGAAGGCAACCAGGCCCAGGCCTGAGAAGTTTCTCTGAGTTTCACTTTCAGTTCTGAAAGTGGCTACTTTTATTAATTTATTTATGTAGGTTTTTTTTTTTTTTATTTCCACCACATTGTTGAAATAAAACTAAGCACTCCTCATGAGATTAAAATGTGCCACTGCTGAGCTCTCTCAGTTCAGGAAATCTTGTTTGGATTTCGTATATGACATCTTTACTGACTATTTCATGGCTGGGATGGCTGCCCTTTCTTGAGAGATGAGTTTCTACTCTTGCTGAGGGGAAGCAAATCAATGCTCAAATTAGGAGATTGATGAAAGTCTTTCTTCCTTGATGTCTCTGTTCCACCTGGGAGTCCTTAAGTAATCACGATTTTTGTCCTTGCTATCATTTAGCTGCAAAAGACTATCAAGGTTCATGGATAAAACC